TGGCTTCTGTTGCAGACCCTGAGGGCGGACATCAGGTGCAGCCACCGGACAGCCCACTGCCCAGAGGGGTTGGCTGAGAGACACCCAGCACCCCTGGGGGAGCCGTTAGGTAACAACAGGAGACTGGGAGAGGGGTCTGCTCAGCCGGCCTCGGAGGGCCTGCAGCCCTGCGGGCCGGTGTGTCGGGCTGGCGGGGTGGGTGCACTGGCCCAGGAGGATGGCTCCTGAGTGCGGCGGCCGGGCCGGAAGCCAACAGTGTCTGGAAGCTTAATGAGGAACATGCGTGGCACTGTCTCTGCACCTGGCACCTGTCTCAGCTGCAGGGGGTGGGACACTGGTTAGCTGGGGGGGTCGGTTGGGGGTTGCCTGGGCCCGTGGGGGTACATGTGGATGGAAACTTGTCGGGTAGGGGGCACTGCCAGGTGAGGGGTTTTGAGGTTTGGGTGAGGGGACAGTTTAAAGTGGGTTGGTGCTGGATGGGGGGGTGGGGGGAGAGGATGTTCTCCACCTTCCTGCCCTGGAATCAGTGGGTGTCGAGTCGGGGGGGTCAGGGTGCTCTCTTCGATGCCTGCTGGCATTGAGTAGGTTGGCGCCCTTCTCCAGGCTCTGGGCTTGGGGGCTCTGGTACCCACCTAGCTTGGTGGCCTGGGGCATGCAGGATATTAAGAAGCCCTGGACCAAGGCACAGAGGCTGCTACTGGGGCCAGGATCCTTGCTGGAGACACAGAACAGGGGTGAAGCCCCCCAGGTGGGGGCAAGGCGCGCCTTGGTTCGACCCCTCACAGGGACTGCTGAGTGTGCTGGCGTGTGGGGGAGGAGCGTGCCCCCTGCACAGACCCCTCTCTGCAGCCCATCTTCCTGCAGGAGATGGGGGCGGGTAGGCCATGATGCAGGCACCTGGCTCTTCCTCACCTCCGTGCTGCTGGTCTCTGAAGGTGGGGCAGGTGGGGAAAATGAGGCCACAGAAGGGGCCTCCAGAGCCCACGGGGCCAGCAGGGTCCGTCGGTCCACAGCTCAGAGCATGTGAGGTGCCCACAGGTCCGGGGTGGCTCCATCTATCGAGGTGAGAGATGGGACTGAACCAGGATTCACCCTAGGGGCTCCTTTTCTCTTCACACAGCCCCCCTCCAGCCATGCCTGTGTCCCTGCCCCTCACCACTCCTGGCTCCTGGCATGGCCTGTGGTCCAGGTGCCAAAACTTGGCACACACACCACCTTTCCCTATCCCCAGCCATGGCAGACATCCCCAATCACCTGCTGAACTCGTGACTGCCATTACCAATCGATCCCAGATCACCTGGGGCCTGGTGGGACCCTGGTCACAGGAGACGGCCTGGGGCCTGACCTGGCCATGACAGCAGCCCTGTTTCCTAGGATGGACGGTAGGCGGTGGCATCAAGCTCGCTGGGCCTGGTCTCTGCTGGCCGTGGCACTTGTGGCCGGGGGAATAGCATATGTCGGGGCCACGGTGAGTCAGAGTCCATGCCAGCTGTGGTCTACTCCCTGTGGACTGGCTCTGGTGGGGGCTGTGTGGCCTCCTGGGGACAGAGACATTAGGTTGGCCCCCAAGCCTGCCCAAGCTCCCAGCCCAGATCCAGAGGGCCCGTGACCCACACCGCTGGGAGTCCCTGCCCCAGGGGCCTGGAGTCTGACCCCAGGTCACCAGCCTGCCTGGGCAGGGGCAATGTGTCCCGGGCTGTCCCCATGCCTGCTCCAGGCCTGCTCCTAATGCTGCATGGGGCCTCTCCCCAGGACAACAGCCTGGAGGGGGGAGCGGACACCACAGCCTACTGGTGGGGTGAGTGGACCAAGTGGACAGCGTGCTCCCGCAGCTGCGGGGACGGCGTGATGTCCCAGGAGCGGCACTGCCTGCAGCAGAGGTGCGTGGCCCGCTGGGGGCATGCATGGTGACTGGGGCTCCCCGGAGGGGGCTGGGGCTCTCGTTAGGGCAGGTTTTAGGTTAGAGGTAGCCCTCCACGGAGTAATACCACCTTCCCGCTGGCTCCTTTGGGGACGCGGCTCCTGGTGGCTCAGGGCCAGGGGACACTCACTTGGAGGGGTCATCCCAAGGCTTGCTCATCTGAGGGCTGAGTGTGGAGGGGCAGTTGGTGAGGCAGGCATTGAAAACCCAGCTGGTCTCTGACCTCCACCATTATCTTGCTGTGTGGCCTTGGACAGGTGGTCATTTATCATCGCAGGGGGCTCAGTGTCCGCATGAGTTGAGGTCCTGAGAGCCCTTCCAAGCACAAGCCCAGGGCAGATACGTGCATGTGTGCTCGCTCTCTCTCTCTCTCTCTCTCTCTCTCTCTCTCTCGTGTGTGTGTGTGTGTGTGTGTGTGTGTGACATTCTAAGTCACACACCTGCTCTTATTCACTCAGAGGGTGGCAGCTTCAGTTAGCCTCCTTCTCACCCCAAGGGGAAAACTGGACGCCTGCCAGAGGCCCCTCAGTGCGGGAATCAGAAAAGCGTCTAGAATACAGTGGTCTCAGGCTTGTCTAGGGTCCCTGGCTGGAGCCCTGAACTCAGAGCCCCTGTCTTCCCTCCCGCCAGGAGGAAGTCTGTGGTGGACGCTGGCAACAGGACCTGCAGCGGCACGTCCAGGCGTTTCCAGCTGTGCCGGGCGCAGGTGAGGCCAGGCTGGGCTCAGGGGTTCTCGCGGTGCCTGGGGGCCCCTGGACCATCCATCCTGGGCCTGTGCGGAACGCAGACCACGGGAGCAGGCTCTGCTGAAAGATGTGGGGTCCAGGGAGGCGTCTTGTGTGTCTGCATGTCGAGGGATGGTCGGGGCCCCCTCTCCTTTCCAAGAAAGAGAGGGGTGAGCAGGAGGGCCCACTGTGGCACCCCAGACCAGCCCCTTCCCGTGTGACCTGCACAGTGTGGGCCCCCTCCCAGCCCCGTCTCTCACTCCCCAGGAGTGTCCACCTGACGGGAGGAGTTTCCGGGAGGAACAGTGCGTGTCCTTCAATTCCCATGTGTACAACGGAAGGACCTACCAGTGGAAGCCCCTGTACCCCGGTACCATAGCCTCTCGCCCCGGGACCTTACTAGGGAGATGGAGGGCAGTCAGCTGGGGGCACAGGGGCACAGAGGGGGAGCAGTGTGTCTGCTTCAGAGCCAGGAAGGGTCCTGGGTCTCCTGAGTCTGGACCATGGGCCTGTCCTCACCCCTAGGGGCTGTGCAACCTAGCCCCTGCCAGGACGGCCTCTTCGGTCCTGGCCCCTCTGCATGGACAAGGCTGGGCATACCAGAGGGGCTCCACAGGGCTGGCCCCGGCTGGTGGGAGCCGGGCTGTGTCCTGTGGCCATTTCCCACTCCCTGCCTTCTCTCTTTCCCCTCCCCTCGTTCTTCCCTCTTGAGGAGGTGGAGCAGGCAGGAGACAACCTGTTTAGGGAAAGGGGGTGAGCGAGTGGTCTTTCCCACCCAAGCAGCCCAGATGAGGTGTTGACTCAGTTTACCTGCAGAGGGATGTCCCTGAGGGTCTGGGAAGCTGCCCTGCCCACAGGCTGGCAGAGGCTCCTGCCTGGACCCGGGGCCAGCCCCTGTCACCTTCCCCAGCCTCCGTTTCCCCCTGAGGGATGCTGGCTTGGGGGGAGGGCCAGCCGGGTGCCCCTCCTCTTCTCTGCACTGAGTCCCTCTGGCGCCCCCAGACGACTACGTACATATTTCAAGCAAGCCCTGCGACCTGCACTGCACCACGGCGGACGGCCAGCGGCAGCTCCTGGTGCCTGCCCGGGACGGCACGTCCTGCAAGCTGGCCGACCTGAGAGGGGTTTGCGTGTCTGGAAAATGTGAGGTTGTTAAACGGTGTAGCAAGCGTCCCACTGCTCCCCTCGTGAGCGCCCCACCCCCCACCC